AAAATATGTATTTGTTAAATATAGGGATAATGTGAAAATCCTGTAAAGTTATAGTTCCCCTTTAACAGACCATAATAGTTATTACTATAGCTTAACTAATAAATGTAAATGTTACTTAATACATGTAGGTGTTTTTCCAACTTTGTTCTGTTTTGTAGAATTCGCGTGGGATGTCACAAGCTGATTAACCATCACATCTTCACCAACCTCATCCTGGTTTTTATCATGTTAAGCAGTGCATCCTTGGCGGCTGAAGATCCGATTCGTAGTCACTCCTTCCGGAACATAGTAAGCATTAAATCTTCCCCTCAAAACAATACAGTCCACATATGCAGCCAGGGCAATAAAATGAATATTACATGCTAGTATCATCTTCATAAAACTGGTCCTCCGATAGCATTTAATAGATTAGAATTCAAGATGTTTAGGATTTGTGTTCACATCCTGTTGTAATTGGATATACAAACGCTCGAGCTAATCTTGGGTAGCATTTTATCCGCTGTGAACATATGTCCCAACTGGACTACATAACATTGCAAGGTCTGAGACTAGTTGAAAATGACTGATAAAATGGCCCCACTGATAAAATGGCCCCTGAAGTGGAGGTTGTCTGGATTTCATTGTGAATAGCCAAATTGGGATTTCACTATTTTGACCTAAAATATGTAATTCACTTTAAATTACGGACAGTTCACACGTATATATCTCTTATTCCTAATATTTCACAAGAGTCCAATCGATTGTATCTATAATAAAAATTAAAAGTGGCTAATAACATCTCACTGTTTGTATAGAGATAGTGTTGTCATGTGTGCATGACCACTAAATGAATATTGAGACGCACTATTGCACCTAACGTTTTCTTTAATTAAATAATAGTCATATAGTATAAAGCAGGTGTGCATTTTTAAGGATTTGCATTAATATTGTATTCTTTTCTTCTGTTAAACATTCTAATTTTCTCAACCTGCACTATACTTTGCCTCTTTGTGTTTAGTTGTTCATTATTTTATGTATTTCCTTTGTAATATTGTTTCTAACTGTTTAAAGACTTAATAAGTCTTATTTTTGGGTGTGTTTTTTTGCCAACTGTAGTGAATGTAACACTGCTTGCAAGAATAGCCAAGATCTAACAATAGCTGAGGTCAACAGATTGTCCAAATCAGCCATTTTACCCAGAATTGTAATTTTTTACATTATTTGGTTTCTGTTCGTTACAATTCGGAGTTTAGTTAAGAAACTGCCCCGTATCATGTTATTTTGCCTGTTGTCATATAAAGACAGCATCGTAAAGCATCAATATATTCCTTGGATTACTGAAACTGACTAAAAAATAAGTCTTATGATATGGGCCATATGTCTGCTCTAATAATTTTATTTCTATACAACAGATAACATAATGGTGATGGTAGGATTCAGTAATCCTATTGTGGCATATAGAAAGACTTCATTGTTTTAACAGTTCTGAACGTACACCCACGGAAGAATGAAAAGCCAGATAAAATATTTAATTATAATTAATGCAACCATTAGCATCCAAATGTCCCTAAGGCCTGGGAAGCAGCAAACCCCATAATTATATCCAGGTAAGAAGTACATGTAAAGACACAATCAGGGTTATTCACAAAAGTGAGAATTGTCAGGAATTCAAAGTGAATTTAATTTTTATGGCCAAAATAGCCCATCTGAAGGCATAGATGACTTGAATGTTTCCAATTCAGCTATTTGGCAATTTAAAATTCACTTAAATTCTGAACAATTCTCAAAAAAGTATTACACAAAGATAGATCACATCAAAGCCACACAAACATACACAGGTCCATCACTTACAGCCTTGCACAAACATGAAATTTGGCTCTGAACATATCAATTATGACACAGACTGCTTCCAATAGACAAGTTTCTTTCAGATGATATCTCACTGTATCAAGACCATTTCAGTAATAGAATGATCTTTGTAGTGTTACATCCATCAAATGCTTAAATCGTTTTGGAGAAACTAACCTGGGCCTGCTCCCTTTCTTCCCACCATGGCTATATATGTTTATATTTGGTAGATAATATTTGGCAGCAACCACTCTATTTTGTATATGCTGATCAATATTTACTCACTAAATTATTTAGTTTTATAAATGTACTATCTTTTTATTAAATTAAAAACAATTGTTTTGAAATCCCACAACGCAACCCAGCTGTTCGGCCCATTTAATAAATGGGAATAACCTTGAATAATGCCACATTTTGAACCTTTTGGATTTTTTGGGACAGGCATGGACAGGAGTTCCTTCCCTTTCTATAAAGCACTTTCTCACTTTCTCATACTGTTTGTTGCAGATACTTGGTTACTTTGATTATGCTTTCACAGGGATCTTTACCGTTGAAATCTTCTTAAAGGTAATACTTTATGTGAACATACTGACCCTGACATTCTAGTTTTGCATTAATGTCCCATTCTTTTATACTTTCTAGGTTCTAGGCTATGCAGATTATGTCTTCACTAGCATGTTTACATTTGAAATCGTATTGAAGGTAACCTGGTTTGTGTGAAAATGTTATTTAAAACAGCAGTGCTATCTAAATATTTTTGTGCCCTAAAAGTCAAAATTAATGTATTTTAAAATGCAGAGCAGTTAAATCCAGCATGCTCACCATCTGAAAATTCCTTTAGTCTTAAAGCAGAACACGTTGAACTTAAACTCTGTATATGATGGCGTAATGTCATTTATTGTGCCCATGTCTGCTGATTTAAATATTGTTTTCCGTTTATATTCTGAAAATGGCGTGCACTTAATGTTTTTGCACGCTGAACCACAACATCCGTTTTCTTCTTTGGCTAAAATAAACGTATTCTTTGAGTAATGCGCACAGTTTGGCCATGCCTAGCACTAATAAAGGGATACTCCCAGGTAATCTACACTACTTATGTGCAGATGTTGGACATATTGTATTCTCTGCTGCTGTGTGTAGTGAGGTCTGAATTGGCTTGACGTCTACACCAGCAGCAATATCTTAATGAGTGTCACATGTATTGCTGACATTGAGTGTGATTCTTGATGGTATCTTGAGATGCAAGTCTGTTGGTGACAAAGTATGTCCACTGTGTCACCGTGTGGATTTAATGGGACTGTCCCTTAGAAATGCATGGAGAGTTCTTCAATGACACAAGTATGTATAAATATGCACATGCTATGCAGGAAATGCCTATATTGCTGTTATTTGTGTCTTATGACACACATTTTGAATCTGCATGAGTCTTGCTGTGTTGTGACATTGCAGAGTTTGTCTGCTCCAAGTTTTTGCCCAATAAGGCAGTTTTCATCATGTGTTTATTTGTTGGAGCTGTGCTTTAACATGAAATATTCCACAAGGTATAAATAATTCCGTTTCTTAGTTTTTAAGCATTTAAAATGCTTAGTATTGGCGGGAGTTGATCCTCATAATGGTTGGATGAGCTAATGTAGGAACATTACTTATATGCTGGTGTTTAAATTGTTTCTGTACGTGTCCGTGCTTCTTGTATATTTTTATTATAAATTTTGAATATATTGTTTTTTACAGAGTTTGGGTTTTGTTTTACAGATAAATGAAATGTTATTTATTACTAGTTAGAACTTGTGCACTGCATTATGAATGTAATAATTATGTAGGCAAATTATTTATATTTAAACTATTTTAGTAGTAAATATTAGCAATCTCTGTATCAGGGGACAAGCAGACCCCACACAGCAGCTGATATGAATTCTGAAATCTACAGCTATATCGCTTTATTTATTAAAGCAATGGATTATGGGGAGTTAAAATCTGAACATGCAATTCTACAGCTGATGCATGAGTTTGAAATATTTTTTTCAATATTGCATGGATTTAAAAAATGTGGTTTTCAGTGTTGATCTGATAAATTATGTTTTGTGTATGTTTGTTTTTTTTGTACACTCCCTCCAGCCCCCCAAACACAAATTCTTATTATTGGTCCATATCTAGCTTTTAAAAAAAACACTATAGTTACCTGAATTACTTTAGCTAAATAAAGCAGTTTTAGTGTATAGATCATTCCCCTGCAATTTCACTGCTCAATTCTCTGCCATTTAGGAGTTAAATCACTTTGTTTCTGTTTATGCAGCCCTAGCCACACCTCCCCTGGCTATGATTGACAGAGCCTGCATGAAAAAAACAAACTGGTTTCACTTTCAAACAGATGTAATTTACCATAAATAATTGTATCTCAATCTCTAAATTGAACTTAAATCACATACCGGAGGCTCTTGCAGGGTCTAGCAAGCTATTAACATAGCAGGGGATAAGAAAATCTTAATTGAACAGAACCTGCAATAAAGAAAGCCTAAATAGGGCTCTCTTTACAGGAAGTGTTTATGGAAGGCTGTGCAAGTCACATGCAGGGAGGTGTGACTAGGGTTCATAAACAAAGGGATTTAACTCCTAAATGGCAGAGGATTGAGCAGTGAGGATTAGGGATCGACCGATATTGATTTTTTAGAGCCGATACCGATACTGATATTCTGTGAACTTTCAGGCCGATAGCCGATATAATTTGCCGATATTCTGTACATTTACCATTTTGGAAAATAAAAACTATTTCTAAAGGTAAATGCACAAAATACACATGCCACATGTAGTGGATGCAGTGTGTTTAGACAGGGGAGCTGTGTGTGTTTGTGTAGTGTGTGTAGTGGATGCAGCGTGTGTTTGTGTAGTGTGTGTGTGTAGTGGATGCATTGTGTGTTTGTGTAGTGTGTGTTGAGGATGCAATGTGTGTTTGTGTAGTGGATGCAGTGTGTATTTGTCGAGTGTGTGTAGTGGATGCAGTGTGTTAGTGTAGTGTGTATATAATGAAAGCAGAGTGTGTGTGTAGTGTGTGGGTAGTGTGCATAAAGTGAATGCTGTATATACTAAATGCAAAGTGTGTGTGTGTATTTGTGTAGTGTGTGTGTATAGTGAATGTAGTGTGTTTATATAATGCAGAGTGTGTGTGTTTGTATAGTGTGTGTATATAATGCAGTGTGTTTGTGTAGTGTGAATTATATAAACACACTACACAAACACACTGCATTATATACACAAACTATGCAAACACACTGCATTATATACACACACTACACACACACACTGCATTATATAAACACACTACACAAACACACACTGCATTATATAAACACACTGCATTATATACACACACTACACACACTGCATTATATAAACACACTACATTATATACACACACTACACAAACACACACTGCATTATATAAACACACTACACAAACACACTGCATTATATACAGTGTGTTTGTGTAGTGTGTGTATATAATGCAGTGTTTGTGTGTAGTGTGTGTGTATACTGTCATATCCCCCCCAGTGTGTGTGCAGTGTGTGTATATAATGCAGTGCGTTTGTATAGTGTGTGTGTATATAATGCAGTGTGTGTATTTGTGTGCATTGTATACACACACACTATACAAACACACTGCATTATATACACACAGCATTATATACACACACTACACAAACACACTGCATTATATACAGTGTGTTTGTGTAGTGTGTGTGTATATAATGCAGTGTGCGTTTGTATAGTGTGTGTATATAATGCAGTGTGTGTTTGTATAGTGTGTGTATATAATGCAGTGTGTGTATTTGTGTGCATTGTATACACACACACAAACACACACTATACACACACTGCATTATATACACAGTGTGTTTGTGTAGTGTATGTGTATATAATGGAGTGTGTGTGAGGGGGCATTTTTTTAATTAAATTATTATTATTATTATTATTTTTTTAGATTTAATTATTTTTTGTTTGTTGTCCCCCCTCCCTGCTTGCTGCCTGGCCAGGGAGGGGGGATATGACAGTCCCTGGTGGTCCAGTGGCATTGGCTGAGCTCTGGGGGGAGCAGGCATCAAGCGCTTACTCACCTCCCAGCAGCTCCTCCAGCTCCCCAGTACAACTCTCGCGGCCGCGGGTCTCGCGAGAGTTACACTGGCTGGAGGAGCTGCTGGGAGGTGAGTAAGCCCTTGATGCCCGCTCCCCCCAGGACCGCCGGGCTTGTAATGAGCCTGGCGGTCCTAGGAGGTATTATCGGCAATATCGGTATCTGAATTGGCCGATACCGATATTGCTGAAAATACCGAATATCGGCCGATTATATCGGTAAAACCGATAATCGTCGATCCCTAGTGAGGATGCAGGGGCGTGTTCTATACACCAAAACTGTTTCATTAAGCTAAAGTTGTTCAGGTGACTATAGTGTCCCTTTAAATCATGATCTTCCTGTACTTTAAATGATATAGCAACAGTGAAGCCTGTATTAGGGAAAAATAATAACTTGGGACTCTCAAGATATTCTCAAGACATTCATATATCTCCTGAACTTTTGCATTATAATAATATCTTTGTGTTAGGGCTGCATTTGGGGGTCATAGTAGGGGTTTAAAGAACAATATAGTGTTAGGAATACAAAACATCCACCTCACCCACATGGAATAAAGGGTTAAATAACCCTTTTAACAGTTTCCAGATTCCAGCATCGATATTTCTCTGCACTGGATCACTCTCCTCCTTCCCTGTTGTCAGCAATGGTGGGAACCTAAAGCGCATGTGCATCGAGCTCCATGCGCGCATTAGGCTTTCTCATTGGAATTTCTGGTAGGGATTTCTGATAGGGATTTCGGACATCCTCATGCAAAGCGTTAAACGCCATGAAAGGTCAGGAAGCACCTCTAGTGGCTGTCTAAGAGATTCTCTGAAACTGCGTTGGTTTACATTGCAGGGCTAATAGGACAGGGACACTGCACGCCGACCACTTCAAAGAGATGAAATGGTCTGAAGGCCTATAGTGTCCATTTAAGATGGGTGTTTAATATTAAGACAAATGCACAAAATGTGTTACTTTCATGAGTGACAGCTGCTGCCATTGTAATACAGCTCTATCCTAAAAAAAACCCAACTAATTATGGCAACTGAATAACCTGCCCCTGGGATTGTAACTACCATTAATCTCGGGCTACAACGGATCTGAATCTCTTGACATTAAAAATAAATTGCCTTATTTATCTGTTACACTGCTCTGACACTTTAACTCTAGCCCTAAAATGAACCGTAATAACCCTAACTCACTGACACTAACACCGAAACTAGCTCACTAATCCTAGCCTTAGAAATACATAACAGTAAAATATCTGGAGTCATTTATAAAACCATCTACCTTGGAATTTCTCATTTACTGCAGTTTTTGTTGCCAAGTTATTTACTGTGCTTTTAGAATACTCCAGGGTCTTCATTTTGGTAACACTATAGACCAGCTTAGGCAAAGAAATAGAGAAAATGTTCATGTGTATTGCAGTAAAAGGGAATTCTAGATTACAAAATGCATGTATCTGAACAATGCAGTTAAAGAATATGCAGTTATAACTTTTTCTGCCTACATCCTACATTTTCATTGCTAATATATATATAAAATATAAACATTTTTATCTATATATGTTATTAAATAATAAATACCAGATCTTTTACAGATTATACAGTATTGTAAATAATTTAAGACAGGATCTAAATGGATACTTCTTTTCTGGAAGTGTGTAGAGAGACTGTGTGATTGACAGCCAAGTAGGTGGGGCTAAGGCTGCAGGAATAAAATCATGTAACTTCTGCTTAATGAATTGGTTTTGGTAACTAAAATTACTTTTACTAAAACCAATTATTTAAGCAGATGTGGTTTTGGTGCTTAGACTGACCCTTAAATGCATTAATAATGAAAAGAACACACCTGCCCCATAACAACTTAATTTGAATGAAGTTGTTATAGTGCCAGGACGTCTTTGGCACCAGCTTACATTTTGGTAAACGGCCTGAGAAAAATCGGTTGGACTGCTGTCTGAGTTTTCCTCTTTTAAGAATCTGAGCAGCTCGAAGGATTGGAGCAGACTGAATTGGGGTACTGGATACTAGACTTTGATTAAACTGTTTGTGAAGATGTTATGGTGTCCAGAGTGTTCCTTAAAAAACTGTCTATGCTTTGTGTGTGCGCCTGCATCCCATGCTAAATCACATGTCAATTGTTAATGTTATTTCCAAACAAAGCATTTCTTGTTTACTGTACTGAAGTTAATTATGCTTTTTATTGTTGATGTTATTTTCAATAAAGACTATACAAAGAAATGAAATATGCCTAGGAGATGGTTTGTTCCTTTATTTTTCTTATGAGTAAATTCATCTTTTTATTGCTTTTGTAGATGTTGACATTTGGAGCATTCTTGCACAAGGGCTCCTTCTGCAGAAATTACTTTAATTTGCTGGACCTTCTGGTTGTTGGAGTTTCTTTGGTTTCATTTGGCATCCAGTAAGTGGCACACTATTCACGGTCTTTAGTTAACTAATTCCCAGATTTGTTTCTTTTCCTTTGTTTCTGAGTTAGAGGTCTAATGCTGGACCTCAGCATTAAAGAACCACTCTAGGGACACTGAAGTTGACCGCTTTTTTGATGCTTAATGGAAAAAATGTGTTAAGTATAAATAAAGAGGAAAAGCTCACTGGATGTCCCCTTGTTTACTGAAAATGTGCATTGTTTGTAGAGACCAGAAAGATGCTTAGATTTCTTAGCCAATCCTGGGCATCCCATTGTATGCCCATTCTGTCCAAGAAACATCAGTAGTTAAAATTGTGAATGAAAATACTCTGCCAGCTTCTGTGGCCCGCATAATAACTTAATTCTTGTTTTTTCACGATTAACAATATACTTACTAAACACAAGAATTTTTGCTATAAAGCTTCTTACCTAGAGATTTCACATCTGATCCTTGTACTACCATTGAAAATTTCCAATGGGTGCTCTATGTCCGGCAGGGGGTGCATGTGTGTGTAGTTTCATTCATGGAAAAAAAAACATGAAGGAAACTACTCATCAAGCAAATTGAAGTTACAAACAATGCTCTGAGAAGGCCAGAACAAGTTGTTAGGTCCCGTACATTGTAGCTATATTGCGCATTTATTCAGCATAAAAAAATGAGGCAGTGTAGCTGCCATGTCTCACAGTGGTGGGGTGGCCTTATAGCTGTAACAATTTTGATGAACTGTGCAGCTATATTTAACAGAATGAAAAGTGACAATGAGCTCCTTCTGTCATATGCAAGAAACCTAGGTAGACGTGTTTATTTGACACTTATAGGCTGTATGTCTTAAGGTAAGGCATTAGAAGGTGAGGACTAGTTTTATGACTTTTAGTTTCAGCATAATTATTTTTAAATGCAGTAAGTGTGGCAGCTTCACTGCAAACCCAAAATAGGAAATTCATTTCAGAATCTGGCAGTAATAGAAAGTTAAATCGATTATTGTTTATTTCTCTTGAGAAGAGGTTAATGCAGCAGGTAGTGTACACCACATGGCTAATTCATGATATATTACGGTCTAGTGCTTATCGATTTGATTAGAAGAAATTAATATTCATAATACATAAACAATTACCTGTGTTAACACACAATGTCTGTTTTTATGCAGATCAAGTGCTATATCAGTGGTAAAGATTTTGCGTGTGCTAAGGGTGCTCAGACCATTGAGAGCCATCAACAGAGCTAAAGGCCTAAAGGTTTGGAGATTTCTACTTTCCTATACTGTCACATTGTCTTTGTCTTTGTACTTTCTTTATTATTGTTACTTGAAGGTAGGAAAGGATCAATGCACTGTTGATATATGTAGTAGTATTTTATTATGGATCTACAAGCAAAGAAACAAAAAAATTAATAATAATCCCCAAACAATATAATACACTGTGCAACAACATTATACCTGCCTAATGCCATGTAGTTCCCCCTCATGCTGCCAGAATAGCTCTGAGATGTCAAGTCATGAGCTCCACGAACGTGTCCTGTAGTTTCTGGCACCGAGATGTTGGCAGCAGATGCTTGAAGTCTTGTAAGTTGCGAAGTTGGGCCCTTCATGGATTGATTTGTTGTTCCAGCACATCACACAGATACTCAATTGGATTGAGATCTGGGTAATTTGGAGGCCAGCAACACCTTGAACTCTTTGCCATGTTCTTCAATCCAATCCTGAACAATTTGGC